CTCCAGTGTCTAAACTCTTGATGTGCACTTATACCTGTCTCTTATACACATCTAGATGTGTATAAGAGACAGCATATATACATATATATATATATATATATATACATATGTAAAGTCATAACTTTCAGTCGAAAACAGCACTATCTAATTGTGTGGGCTGTCTACTGTCAAAATAACGGTGTTCGGCTTTCTCAACTGTCCCACCAGAAATGGTAAACGATTTACTTGAATGCAACAAAAGGAAGATATCTATGTGAATGCATGTAGAATCTTAAATCTCAAGTACACACACATACATATTTACAAAAGTATCTTCAATACATATTTGGATAACAATCCGCTAGCGCATCAACGGAAAGAAGAGCAATACGACAAATGATTTGACAGTTTATTTATCGCATTGTCGCTTGTGATTGACAGCATGAGCAAGCTTTTTGTAACACTTAACCCGCATAGCTGCGCAGATACGCCGCAAATATGTACATTTGTATGTAACATGTAAATGTAAAAACAATATACATATGTATTATATTCATTGAAAGTCGGTGTGTGTGTGCGCGTATGAAGATATGAGTCAAAAGTCATTTGTAATTATCGCTAATGACTTTTGCTAACGGCATTTGAGGTCATCGCTGTGGTGAGTGAAAGCCAAATTGATTTTAGTAAATTTAATTGTGTATATATGCATTTATATTCACTAATTTCATCACGTGCAATAATTTTAAAATATTGTAAATTAATTCCATTAGCACTTAATCTTCAATAATTTTATTCTTCTGCTTCTTCTCTTTGCAGATAAATTTACGTTTAATACTCGTTAGTGGCAAAACAAAAGAATTCCTATTTAATCCATCAGATTCTGCTGGTGATATCGCACAAACAGTATTCGATAATTGGCCTGAAGGTGAGTGACACATCAATATACACTTAGGTAGCTGCGCTGATTATAAATTTGTCTGAATTTAAGATTTTACTTTATTGCTGATAACCATAAACTGACTTTTAGGTATTATATATTATCAAAGTTTGAGTTTAGATTTATTTTGGTAAACATTTGTGAGTAGGTTCTGACGTTGAAAGTTTCGGTGTTTGCCTTAGATTATTATAAGCTATCATGGTTATCTGCATTCAATAATCTTAGATGTGTTTGCAGTCGATGTTATGAAAACAAAAAATATGATCATTTGTTTCTTATAAGTTAATGCTTGTTAAAAGCTCCACAACTAGCGAGAGGCTCGTCTTACTGAGGACAAAAAGATCACTAGATCTCTTGCGTTCGATCTTGGGTCAAAAGTCTTTTGCTACAGCGCATGGCCAAGACTCCGCGAAGCCTAGCTATCTAGTAGTAGAAAAAAAGAGAATACGGGAGCACCAACCCGCTCCCAATTTAGTGATAACGGTTCTAGGTACATCAAGCTTTGACCCATCCCGAAAGAAGCAGCCACTTTCCTCCAAAAGCTCGCTCGACGGTATGTGGACAGAGAAAGAGCCGACAGAGTTCGGTTTGGTGACTCCAAGATCCAAGTGATCCGGCATGAAGTCAAAGTGTATTTTTCGAGTGTTCAAACACGTGTTCTTTTAGGAACTTAGATTCTCTGAGTCTGATCAAAACTTTCGTATCCATACATCTTCCGACGATGTCTATGGACACTATGTATAAGATGACGTTAAGTGTCATAGTTGCAGTGGACCTTAGTGCACCACACATGCTGATGATCGCCGCCGGTTGAACACTCTCTAGTTTCTTTGCAATTGTGGTCTTTTCTAAAGCCCTCCCCCACCTAAAGACTCCGTAGAACATAATGGGGTTGACAATGGGGTCGTAAAGCCAGAGCGCCCCTATCGGTGAGAGATTCCACCTTTTGCCAATGTCTCCTCTACAGTGGTATAAAGCAGTCGGTATCTTTTTTTGTTCTCTCTTCGATATTCGGCTTCCATGAAAGCTTCCCATCCAGGATGAGCCGTAGATATTTCACTGTATCCGTCGGTTGAAACGGGTGCCTCTCAAGATCCATGTTTTACAATAATCCTTTTTCTTACTGTATGATATTGTACTCCCGTTAATTTATATTAGATATTAACTAGCAATGCTGAAACCACCTGTGTTTATGGTCCCGATAGTGTTACAAGCAATCACCTGAAATTTTGAAATCGCCGATTCCGTTTCGATCAATTTTATGCCAAAGATGCACCATGCTGGAAACCTAATTTTCGAAAAAATCGATAAAATAATAAAAATCGTCGAGTCCAACAAACTGGTTTCGATAACTCCGGAGCTAGGGATGGCATAAAAAACCGTTTGGTACCATTTTAATAAGGTTGGATATTAAATGATGCTCAATGTATGCGTGTCATACGAGTTAACGAAAAACTTATGGACCGAATTTTCATCGCTGCTGAATCATAACGAAATAACAACGTCTAGGAAAAACAGTCTCTTTAGTATCGCGACAAGCTTGCACTAAAGCCACGCAGAAACTATGAGCTTCTCTCCAGTGTCTAAACTCTTGATGTGCACTTATACTGTCAAGAATAGCCCAGTTGTGGCTAATAAGAACGAAATTATGATCCATGAAAACATCGCCAGACCACTGACATTTTGACTCGCCTGAAGTTCCAAGAGCTTGATTGTGAGGTCCACTCTATTGTTCGGACCTGATACTAAATTACTTGTTCCTGCCCAAGGGGAATGATTTTGTTGATTAAAAGTTCACCCGTGTTGTTATGTGAAGGCCATTAGTTTCTTCTTCATATCACAACAATACTGAAAGCAAAGGAGTAGAGTTTGTAATTAAGATCACCTACTGAAGTGTCTTCTCAATTAATAACTTCTGTAAAATGAAATACAAATAGACATTCGTACTCAACTTTTCTCTAAAATAACCACAACCGCACATGCTTACTCATTTCTACCAGCGCTATGAATAAAAATGGTTAAAGTTTTTTGTTTCACCGCTTTCCCAACAATCGTCTGTACTGCACTATTATTCATTGAATCAAAAACCGAGGACGAACAAAGGCACTCGCAATTATTTATAATCTTAACACAAATTAATTGACGCACTTTGCTGTCCACCAGCTGCGACAGGAGGCAGCAACAACACGCATTTACAACTGTTATAGCTTCAAAATGATTGTCTACTGCAGACTCCCTATATGTCGGGCGCTCTTTTGCTCTCTTTTTCTGTATTATGCTGTGTAACAGACGATTGATTGCTGTGGGACATGAAGTTATGCTCGTATGACAGCAAAAACAACAAACAGAGAAATTGCACCGATGGCCACCATAAGCACCAACACTTCTACATACCCACCACATGTAAGCGTGTGTGTGTTTGTGGGTATAGCTGTAGCAGCTAGGTCAAAGTAGAGCACAAATGCGTAAAATGCAATAAAGTGCTGCGAATGGCCGGTCGGTCGGTCGGTCGGTCGGTCATCTTCGTTGCGCTGTACACTGCTGCTGCATCAAATTCAATTAGCATGCATAACTCGAAGAATGAAAATGTGCTACGTTGCAACAGCCGGCGAGCGCCTGACATAAATTATTGAAGATGCAATGAAATGTGCACAGTGTGTGATGATATGACCACTTAGGCTCTTAAATTTTAAACTGTTCGATTGATGAACCCTTCTGTTCTGTTTACAAATACTCTGGATTTGTAAGTTGTTTGTGACTTTACAAATCTCGTCAGTGTGTTAATATCCAAATGTAAAATTTTCCAAAAAATGGGGGTTTCTCTTCCGAGGCTGTTGGTAATTTTTCATTGGGTCGTTTTTTACGTGGGAGGTCCCAAACTCAGCGCACAACCCTTAGAAGGGATTGTTTGCCTTTTCTCTTTATCTCGCCTTCAAACGGATGTTTTTTGGCCAGGATACTTGGTCTAAGGCCGGAAGTCGTTGGCTGCTTGAGCCATATGGAAAAAAATCGTTTCTGGCCACTTCCAAGAGAACTTAAAAAGTGATTTTACAGCTTACTAAAGCTTAATGTACAAAATTTATACTCTGGACAGGACATACATATGTACCTACACACAGTATATATTTAAAATCGCTAATAATGCTCTATGAGATCTCCCAATCTCAATTAATATTTCAGCTTAATGAAATTTCGGGTCACTATTAGGTCTACGTTTAATCATTTCTCAATTTTTGAGATAACGATTTGAAATTTGCTCACGTCTTTTCCTCCCGAAGAAGCTCTTCATTCGTCGGAACCACCGGCATCGTGCTGCTAAAGTATTTCACTGCCATAAAAGCTGATCGAGCAAAATAAAATTTCTTCACTAAGTTTAGACAGATATTATCTAAGAAAGTGCTACAATTTCTGAACAAATTCTTCATTCGGACCATTATAGCCTATAGGGTCTATACGAAATGACTTATCAAAATTAAGTCCGTTTATGGAAAATTGATTTGTTGACAGGGTATATTCACGAAATTTTGTAAATATTATTATCGAAGACAAAGCTAAACTCTCCAAAGATTGGACTACTATCAACTATTATAGCTATATGACACCATGCAAATTGATGGATCAAAATCCACATAAATATATTTTACACTCTTTTAAGCTGAAGTATTGTTGTTGTTGTTGTTGTAACTGTAGAAAACATTCCTGAAGAATTTCGTAAGATAGTGCTTGGCAGTATAAAAATCCTGGTTCGTTCTGGTTACTTAGGCTATGTTAAGAGGTCGATGCTAACAGCGATTTCACTTGAACAGCTTAGAACGCCGGTCCGTTGTGTTACCTAAATTTACAATTTGCAAAACTTTGCTATCACAAAATTGTTGCTAGTTCCATCTCGGATGTCTCTTTGTTCGCGGAAGGTAATGATGTTGAGATTTTTCATCTTCAGCTTTGCAAAGGCTGGACAATGGTCACATACGACTTTGACAACTTGCTTCCGTTCAAATTTTTAGCCTCACCGCATGAATGCATATTGGATAATGTCTGATGATGAAGTATTATGTTGATATCGTTTCTAGTGAGGACGTACACTCCGTGACCTTCAAATGCATAGTTGGTGAGCTCAGCGCTAATATTGCGACTCGGCTGTCGGAGTGTATGCTCATTTCCCTGAAAAAGGCTTCACTTTATAGCAGTACGTCTACAGCGACATTAATAACAGTCAGTTCTGCTTGAGAGACACTGCAGTGGTCCGGTAGCATAAAGGTAATATTTGCGAAGAGCTCCTTGGAGAAAACGCTCCTTCCAACTTTCCCTCCTAGCTTCGACCTATTCGTGAAAAAGCTCACTGTGCTTCTTCTTCAGCTAATCCTCCCCATCCCCACATATCTCTAGTCGATATGTGAGGAGCGAGAAACCGCCACTAGTAGCCTCGGCTACGCAGTAATCCAAGTCTTCAGGAATGCAGTTGAAGAAGGAGAGAATTTCTATGTGATTTTTCTTATTCGGAACCCTTCACATGGTTAGCTTCCCTGATACTTAAAATTGGAAGAATAAATAAGTCACATATGGACCCGTTGCCAATTTATAAACGCCCTGTGTTACATAATAATTCTCACCCTATTTATAACTGCATATACAATGTATGCTGACCACCTTTAATTTATGTAGAAATATTGTATATAAAAGTATAGATGTTCGCATTGAGCATCTGTGAGTTATTGGTAAATGCGCCAGCAAGCTGAATTTAATTGAACTCGATTGAGTTGGCAACACAAAAGAAATGTTTTTATTTTATAAATAGCATACAATAAGTGCACATATTTGTACATATATACTACAACAACGTTCTATATAAATATATTCACTACAACAGCAGTTGCATTGCATCAATCACTGTACACAGCCACACGCATATTTGTTATGTACCCACTCCGTCCGTCCGCCCCTATGCATCTCGGCGACTTGCTGCGGCCAAGACCGTGAATTTCCTGCAC